GGCCTGCTGTGTCCATCCAGCTCTACACCTTGTTATCTCCGATATTTGAAGTATACTAGTTTTGCTGGTTTATCGAGAGTGCCAGTTCACAAGGTAAAGGTTAAAACAAAGTTTGTTGTATTACCAGTCTCCCTGAAGCTACTCCCCTCATTAACATGAACACACTCTGAGATACCTCCCCTGTAAATGTAAAACAAGGCTGGGAGGATCTTTACAAAACAAAAGGAGTTAGCAGAGTAAGTTAAACACTAAAATAAAACAAAGAACTGCAAATGCTGGAAATCTGAAACAAAAACAGAAATTGCTGGAGGAACTCGGCAGGTGTGTCAACATCATGGAGAGAAAACAGGGTGTTTGTTGTCTGCAGACTGAGAACAGGGAGTTAATCATAAATAATAAGGAAACGGCTGATGAAGTAAACAAATATTTTGCTTGTGTTCACACTATAGAGGACACAGACAACAGTCCAGTAACAGCTGCAATTCAGGAGGTGGGTGGGAAAGGAGCTTAGTGAAATACATAGGTGAGGGAAATGGTACTGAGTAAACTCTGAGTAAACTGAGGGAACTGTGGTCTGACCAGTCTCCAGACCCAGGTGGACTCCACCCTCAGGTCTTAAAAGAGGTGGCTAGTGAGACAAGTAGATGTGTTAATTTTTTTCAAAATTCCTTGGATTCAGGAAAGGTTCTGTCAGACTGGAAAGTAGCAAATGTGACCTGTCAATTCAAGAAGGGACGCAGATGCAGAATGAAACCAAAGGCCAGTTAGCTTGACGTCTGTCTTGGGAAAGGTGTTACAATTGATTATTATGGAGGTTACAGCAAGACGCTCAGAAAATCTCAAGGTAATCAAGAAGAGTCAGCGTGGATTGGTGAAACAAGCATCCTGTTTAATCGATTTATTAGAGTTCTTTAAAAGTGCATCACATACTGTGGATGAGGGGGAGCCAGCACATGTTCTGTGCTTGGATTTCCGGAAGGTATTTAATAAAGTGCCACATGAAAGATTATTGCGGAAAGTTAAAATCACATATAGGCATGAATAGAAGGTTGGCTGGCTGGCAGAAAAGACAGAGTGGGCATAAATGAGACTTTCTCTAATTGACAGGATGTGACAAGTGGAATCCCACAGGATGTGCGCTTTGACCTTAATCTTTTACAATTTACACCAGTGGCTTACATGAGGGCAGTGAAGGTGTGGTAGCTAAATTCACGGCAACACTGAGATAGGTGGGAAAGTATATTGTGACAAAGACATAAGGAATTTACAGGGTTGCAGGCTTATATAGATAGGATGAGTGAGTGTGCGAAAATCTGACAGATGGAGTCTAATGTAGGGAAGAAATGAAGTTGTTTACTTTTTCAGGAGGAATGAAAAAGCAGAATGTTACTTTAATGGACAACAATGGCCGGATTATGAGGTGTAGAAGGATTTAAATGTTTTGGTGCATGAGTCGCAAAACGTTAGCATGAAGGTGCAGCACACAATCAACAGGATAATGAAATGCCATCCTTTATTAAAACAGGAATTGAACCTTAAAGTAATCATGATCCAAAACTGAATGGGTTCTGAGGAAGGGTCACTCGACTCAAAACGATAACTCTGATTTCTCTCCACAGATGCTGCTGGACCTACTGAGTTTATCCAGCAATTTCTGTTTGTGTTTCTGATTTACAGCATCTTCAGTTTTTTTTCGGTTTTTCTTAAAGTGATGATGTTATGCCTCAGTTATACAGGTCATAGAGAGAGACCACATCTTGAATACTGTGTACAGTCTTAGCTCTTTATTTAAGGAGGGATATAAATGTATAGGAGGTAGTTCAGGAGAGGATTACCAGAATGACACCTGAAATGAATGGTTCGTTTTATGAGGACAGGCTGGGATTATATCCTCTGGAGTTTGGAACAGTGAGGACTGACAGGATTGAATTTTATAGCGTCCTGAATAGTCTTCACAAGGTGGACATGGAAAGGAGGGTTCCTGTTTCTGGGGGAATCCAGAACCAGGGGACACTTTTAAAATAGGAGGTCACCCTTTTAGAATAGAGATGAGAAAAACTGTTTGGCTTGTGTGACTAACTCTGCCTCAGGAAGCAGTGGAGGAAGGGGAATTGAATATTTGTAAGGCAGAAGTAGATAAATTCTTATTCAGCGAGGGAATAAAACATTTTTGGAAGTAGATGTGAATGTGGAATTCAAAACATCATCAGATACATCAGATAAGCCATGATCCTGTTGAATGATGAAGCAGGTTTGAGGGGCTGAATGGCCTCCTCCTGTTTCTATTTCATTTGTTTGTTTTTACAAGGGGTAGTCTCTAATGTGTTAATATTTACTGGGGTATTTCTGGCATGTACTAATATTCACAGAGGGGTCTGGGATGTACTAATAGTCACAGAGGTGGGGTCTTTGGGATATGCTAATAGTCATGCGGGTGTCTCTGGGGTATGCTAATATTCTGGGAGGGGTTCTCTGGGATATGCTATTAGTTGCAGGGGTGTCTCTGGGATGCGCTAATGTTTGCGGGGTGTCTCTGGGATACGCTAAATGTTTGCGGGGTGTCTCTGGGATGCGCTAATGTTTGCAGGGTGTCTCTGGGATGCGCTAATGTTTGCGGGGTGTTCAAGAGTTTGTTCATGTCTAGATGAGACTCCTGCCAGATGCTGAATATTTCTGTCCTGGGAGAATGGACAGCACTGGGCAAAGAGCATGTGGCTTCTGTATTGGTCACCTGATAATTTTCCTTGTTATTTTGCTACAGGATTTGTTCGTTTCCCGATGTATGGATATATCTACAAAGTCTCCAGTGTAAGCAGTGATGAAATCTGGCTTTAAGCACGTCCTTCCCCTGCTGAGGTTCTTGAGGGACCAATCAGTCCCCTAAACGTTGGGGCTTCCAAACTGTGAGGACCATGATCTGCTTTACCCGAAAAGAGCCCTCAGTGGCCCAGTCATCGCCATTCACCCCCTGGGGCTGCTGCTGAGGCCTTGTGTGACTGAAACTGCAAGTTAATGGTTGTTTAAAGCAGGTGGCCCCCTACCACACAGTTAATCCAATCCAGTCATTCACTAAAGCAATGAGAGACAATTTGGGTTAAACTATTTTTCTGTCTGTTTTGGGGAACCATTTTGAATCGTATCACTCGGAAAGAGGCCATTTCCAGTGCATGACTCAATCCTGATGAGAGATAATTTAACATTTAAGTTTCAAAGCTAACACAAGCTGAAAAGCCATGTTTGTTTGTTGCTTTTTTAATCACTATCTTTTAACAAATTGCGCTGATGTAGTAATATTTGTGCCACACAAGTGCCAGACAATGACCATCTCCGATGAGACAAAAATGGGGCAGCCCTGTGGCTCAGAGGTTAGCACTGCTATCTCACAATGTCAGGGACCCGGGTTCGATTCCACACTTGGATGACAGTCTGTGTGGAGTTTGCACGTTCTCCCTGGGTCTGCGTGGGTTTCCTCCCACAGTCCAAACTGGCTAGGTGGATTGACCATGCTAAATTGTCAATAGTGTTCAGGGATGTATAGGCTCGGTGGTAAATGCAGTTACAAAGAGCAGGGGAAGGTGGGTCTATGTGGAATGTTGTTTGGAAGGTCAGTGCAGACTTGATGGGCCAAGTCTGGGGTGGCACGGTGGCACAGTGGTTAACACTGCAGCCTCACAGCGCCAGGAACCCAGGTTTGATTCCACCCTCGGGCGACTGTCTGTGTGGAGTTTGCACATTCTCCCTGTGTCTGTGTGGGTTTCCTCCCACAATCCAAAGATGTGCAGGCTAAGTGGATTGGCCATGCTAAATTGCCCGTAGTGTTCAGGGATGTGGAGATTAGGTGGGTTATAGGGGGATGGGTCTGGGTGGGGTGCTCCAAGGGTCAGTGTGGACTTGTTGGGCCGAAGAGCCTGTTTCCACACTGTAAAGATTCTATGATTCAAGTGGCCTCCATCTGCACTGTAGAGAGTCTATGATTCTATGAAAATCTAACTATCTCCTTTTCAATTTCAACAATATTCACTGAATCCAGAATAAACATTCTGCAACTGGACTGGTCATATAAACAGAGTGATGACAAGAGCAGGTTAGAGACCGGGATTTCTCTGGCAGTTTATTCACCTCCTGACGCTCAAAAAGCCTGTCCACATCAAGGCACACATCAGGAGTGTGATGGAATACTCCCCACTTGCCTGGATGAATGCAGCCCCAATAACACTCAAGAAGCTTGACACTATCCAGGACAAAGCAGCCCGCTTGATTGGCACCATATCCACAAACATCCACTCCATCCACCACCGACGCTCAAAAGCAGCAGTGTGCACTATCTACAAGATGCCCTGCAGAAATTCACCAAAAATCCTTAGGCAGCACCTTCCAAGCCCAGGACCATTTCCATCTAGAAGGACAAGGACAGTAGGAACATGTGAACACCACCACTTTCAAGTTCCCCTCCAAGCCACTCACCATCCTGACTTGGAAATATATCGCCGTTCCTTCACAGTTACTGGGTCAAATTCCTGGAATTCCCTCCCTAATGGCATTGTGGGTCAACCCACAGCCCATTGGCTGCCATGGTTCAAGAAGGCAGCTCACCACCACCTCCTCTAGGGGCCATTAGAAATGGGCAACAAATTTTGTCCTTGCCAGTGATGCTTGTATCTCATGTACGAATAAAATGAAAGTCCCAAGTTACCTCAAAGAATCATTCGCAAACAAAATTTACCTCAAAGGTATTAGGGCAGATGATCAAAAGTTTCATCAAAGAGCTAGGTTTTAACAAGTGTCTTTGTAGTCCCGCGACTGAAGGCTGCACTGAATCCCATTCAGTCCCCTTCCTCCTCTAGTCGTAATCAACGTAAATCATGACCATACTCGTGAGCTGGCCAATTATGTCTGTCTTGGGTTGTATCTGCTTTCATAGTAGAATCTGTTCAGCCAGATGTCTTTCATTGGTGACAATAGCAAGTTTATCACAAATAAAACTCATGCCTGCAAAAATTTGTTGAAATAACAAAGTGGGCTGTGTAAAGATAGCTGGAACATGTGCTCTAATATCCTAAACTCAGCGTGGGGCAAATATGGATAACAGCCAATTTTTTCTTCATTTACTCATGGAACGTCTGTGTCTCGGGCTGGGTCAGCAGTTATTGTCCATGTTGTAGGCCTGGAGTCATATGTAGGCCAGAGAAGGTAAGGATGACAGAATTCCTTCTCAACAGGCATTAGTAATGGGTTTTTCCCCAACAATGGCTTCACGGCCATCACTAGATCCTTAATTCCAGATTCTTTATTGAATTGCAATTCTACCATCTGCCATGGCGGAATTTGAACCCAGGCCCCCAGAACGTTAGCTGAGTTTCCTGGATTAATAGTCTAGCAATTATACCACTAGGCCATTGCCTCCCAGAGTGTCAAACAATTGTCATACACCGCACACAGCACATCAAACAGATCCTCCAGAGTACTCTGCAGTTCCGTTCCCAACACCTTGCCCCACCCCCCAAAGAAATAGGACTCCCACTCTCTGTTGTACTGAATTGTGCGCCAGTTTCTTTTCAGCCCTTCACAGCTCCCTGTGACTTCCCTGAGCCTCAGCTGCACAGAGCCCTTGTGGTTCACATGCCTTTCACAGCAGAGAATGTTTCCTCTCGGTGAATTATTGGAATCACTAATGGCCACATTCCAGGGGGAACATGTTAGGGAAAAAAATTTCTAAGCTAGGGTTTAGGAATTGATGATTCACCCTGTTTATCTGTCATATCTACCTGTCAGGGTCAGTGGCTAAAGGGTACCATCTAACCTGAATTCTGTTACTAAAATATAAACAAGAAATGCCCAAAATAATGGGCTGAGCCAGTCGATTCAAGGGAGACACAGCTGATGCACGGTCTGGGAAAGCACAATAGGGAGACCACATGGGTAAATCAGTCCTTTCTTTCCTGTATCTGTTAATGGGCCATGCAGGCAAGGAGGGCAGAAGGGATAAGAGGAGATTTCGGAGAGATGGGTTTTGGTAGGTGTAGGAGAGGGAGGGTGTAACACCATTCCATAATCGGCTTTGCACTTCTATCTGAGTCTGATACAGGAGTTGCTAGATTTATTGATGCTGTTTTATTATGGAAATTTGACTTGTTATTGACAAACTGCATGCAATTTTACAAAGAGCAGGTCTTAGAGCGAAAATGCTGAAGGATTATCCAATCTGCTTGAAAAGCTGCTGATTGTAGCATTCATATTGTTTAAATGTACAATATTGTATCTCTGTTTTCTAAATATGATATAAAACTGGTACAGTGAAGGTGGTATTTCTCTGGTGTAACTGAATGTCATGTATCAATTTGGGCCAGTCAGAGGATTCACATACTTGCCAACAGTTGCAACATTTCCAAATGTTGCCTCAGATTTCCTCCAATGTTCTGCAATTTAAATATTTTCTCCTCCCTTTCAGATCTCTATCATCTCAAGTCATTCTTGTTCTAGAGAAAACACAAATACAGCCCCAATATTTAAAAAAAAAAATTCTTTCACGGGATCTGGGTGTTGCTGGCAGTTTTGTTCCCCATCTTGAATTGCCCTTGAACTGAGTGATCTGTACACCAGTCGCTGAAAGTACACCTGCTAGTGCAGAAGGCAGTGAAGAAAGTAAATAGTTTGTAGGCCTTCATAGCGAGGGGATTCAAGCATGCAGGCTAAACTGAAGGAGGAAGTTCACGATGATTGGGGAGTCCAGAACAAGGGGTCAGAGCCGAAGAATACAGGGAAGGCCATTTAGGACTGAGGTCAGGAGAAATTTCTTTACCTAGAGAGTAATGACCCTATGGGATCCTCTGCCATCGAAAGTGGTTGAAGCCAAAACATTGAACGTTTTCAAGAAGGAGGTAGATATAGTTCTTAGGGCTAAAGGGATCAAAGCATAATGGGGGGAAAGTGGGAACAGGGGGCTGAGTTGGATGATCAGCCAGCATCGTATTGATAGCAAAGCGGGTTTGATGGGCTGAATAGCGTACTCCTGCTCTGATATTCTATGTTTCTATGCTTGCTAGACCATTCCAGGGGACAGTAAAGAGCTACCCACATTGCTGCGGGTCTGGAGTCATGTAGGTCAGTCCGGGGAAGAACAGCAGATTTCCCTCTATAACGGAAATTTGTGAACTAGATGGAATTTTCCAAAAATTGATAATGGTCACCATTACTGAGGCTCAATTAATCTTCCAGATTTAGGAAATTGAATTCAAATTCCATCGCCTTCCAGAGCCTTTGTCTGGGTATCTGCAGTGACATTATAACCACCATCACCCACTCCCAATGTGCTCTCTCTCTCCTGACAGTTGTAACATCTCATATCTGGTATAGTTTCTCAGTAATTCTTTTGTGTACCTTTTCCAGTAATTCCATTTTTTCATTTTTGTAATATGCAGACGAGAACTGTCCACATATATCATGTTTGGTCCTAAGCCAGAGTCTGTATAAAATGACCATGATTTATCTACTTTGTAATTCAGAGTTCAGCAAAACTATAATTAAAGTAATGTTATCATGTTTCTGTAGGTCCACAGGTTTGTTTAGTGATCATTACTATCATATGAATTGTGTGTAATATCATTGCTATTATGAGAGTGTTAGAATTAAGCTCCATGAGCCAGTAAATTACAACTCAAGTGAGGAACATGCGGAGAGATGGATGTGTGCTGGAGAGGTACCTGGGATAAATGGCACAGAAATAGGCCATTTAGCCCAGCCAGTCCATGCTGGTGTTTATGCTCCACTCAAGCATCTTCCACTTTTTATCACATGGTGGGGGATTTTCCAAGTAATGAAGTGGTAGGAGCTCGAAGGCTTCAATGTCCAACGATGTGTTTTGAGGATTTTTGGAAGTGTGACCTGAAGGTTCTAAACATTGATGTTCACACCTTGGAGATGTGAGCGAATGACAGATGGAAATAGCGGGCCAGCGTGTGCCATCGTGATGATCAGTGATGACAGCATCTTGGCAACAGGCACCAAAATCAAAACCACCAGAACAAGGCAGCCCATGTAATCAGCATCAGCACCTTTCAACATGTATGCCCTCCGCCATTGACGCTCAGTAGCAGCAGTGTACTAGCTACAGGATGCACTGCAGAAGATCTTTCAACAGCACATTCCAAACCTCTACCATCTGGAACAACAAGGGCACCAGATACATGGGAACAGCACCACCTGCAAGCTCCCCTCCGAGCCACCCACCATCCTGACTTGGAAACGTATTGCCGTTCCTTCACGGTCAGTGGATCAGAATCCTGGAATTCCCTCCCTGAGGGCATTGTGGGTCTACCTACAGCACATGGGATGGCAGCGGTTCTAGAAGAGCAACGAGGGATGGACAATAAAGATGGGGCCTGGCCAGTGA